TAGAAACCTGGAGAGTCTGTGATAGACTGGAGTGGAAGTCAACTGCGTGTTGGGACGTTTCACCCTATGTTTTCTGGCCTTATTTCCTGAACTTCGTGAGCTGCAATAGAGTGGTGGATCCCCACTACATTTGCTAGCACCACAGGTTAGCGGGGAGGGTGCGAGCAGCGCAATCCTCCCAAATCAGTTGGGCTGCATGGTACATGGCATAACAGCGAAAAGCTGTGGAACGCTGCGCAATAGAAAAGTCCAAAACTTTCTTCAAAATGTATGTCATAAAACTCGATCCTGTCTGCCCCAGCTTAATGAAGAGAAAAAATAATATGCCCTGCTGTCCGGAGAATACCACTCGCATGAATGCAGGTGCAATTTCTGCTCATTTTGAGGATTGTGCTCGTATGCCACCCGAGATAACTTCGAGCTAACCGCAGACAACCAAGCGTACTCAGCACCTGTGTGTGTCAGAGGGCCACGAAAACGCACTGCAAGGAAATGAAATTCCTGTCACTACGAAAATCAACGAAACGCCAAAGGTGGCGAACTAAAACAAACTATGCCATAGGAGTATGACCTGTGTTGCGTGATTCACGAGGCAGACGCCCATGAATGGACGAGGATTACACCCTCACTCCAAATAAGGTGGAAATCCACGACGGAGCCAGTAGATTGCAGATTCATCCGCAGTGCAGGTTCTCCATATCTCCTCGTGCCAACGTTGACTTTGCTAAAATAAAAGTCGAATTCGTTCCGTATTACCATGGCCACTTATCTTCAATGGGTTCAGGCAAAATCTTGCGCATAGCTGAAAACAAGAAAAAAATAACAAACGTGCCACATATAAAAGTACCTGGGCTAGCTTTTACAGGCAACGTGGCAACGAAATGCCTCAATAAAGGGTTTTCCAGGAATATGTCGAAGTGCGCTATGTTCCCTTGGAGCTTACCAAACACCTCGACCTTAACTCTGCCCGACGTTGGCACGGTTGGTGGCTTTTCAAACACGGAAAACAGCCTAGTTGTTCCGCCAAACGGTACTGCAGCAGGACAGACACATATCTTCAAGCCCAGAATTCCCCCTGGGATTTCACTGGTACCAAGTATCATCTGCTAAACACCGAAATAAGCGGTTGCAGATGGCATGAGAAAATACTGTGAGAAAGCGTCCACAAAGCCTATTCATCTGTGCAACTGATTTTTGATGTTCCTACCGCCTTTCTCGTCAATTTCAGCCAAAGTCCTAGCTGCCATCTCTTCCGTTACAACTACTGCATCACGTCTAAACTGTGGGCACACGAACAGAATGGGACAAAATAGTCATATATGACATGGTATGGAGACCTGAAGCTGTCCACGCACACGCGGAACTGCAGGGTGCGCAAGGGACCGGGGTGCTGTCTTACATGAAAATTGCTCGTTAAATTCCGATTAAAGATTTTATTTAGAAGCTGAGAAGATCCGCCATTTTCTTTGTATGTCTGCGCACACGTATATGCATCCAATTTACAAATGTGGTTCCAAGTCAATAGCAGTCCGCTGATGCAGTCACGTGGGGTAGGTCCGTGGAAACAGGCATTTAACTGGCAGTAGATACAAAGGCACTTACATCCTCAGTTATCAAGAAATATATATGTACCGTTTGTTCTCCACCAGCCGGCTTATACTCGGCTCTAACATGACCTGTGGGGATCTCATACCACCGGATGACATACACGTGAAGGGTGAAAGAGGTGTGAACTTTGACAACGACCTGTCGAATGATGGGAGGGAAAAAACGGCGAAATGATGAAGACTGGCTGCACTTTTTGGCATGCTGGTGCGCAGAATATTTATTCTCATT